ATTCTAAAAATAAAACACGAACTTAAAATGTACTGGAAACAGTATATTTGATAGTAACATATTCTAAAGAATAGTGCACTAGTACTGGATTATGGAAATTTCTCGACAAAGAACGCAATACACCGTTTCGTCTGAGACCAAATTTGCATCAGCAAACACCGGCCCTTGCTGCAAGTAGTTATGAGACCTTAGATATGAGTGACTTGGGCCTGATGAAGATGAGCTAACACCGTCCGATGTGAACGCGGATTGTGATAAAGGGCTCAAGCAGTACTTGATGAACGTTAAGAAGTCCGTCGTAAGAAAACGAAGCCGCTCGAACGGTGGAGGGACCACGTGATAGCGCATCTGATCTTAAGTAGTGTGTATTTTTAAATCTTCAGCACTTGAAGCTTTTATGTTTGTTCCGTAATTATACGAAGTAAAGGCTTCTAGGTCCTTAAAAAAAATTCTTCATACCATATATATGGTATCACATGAACGGAATGGTTCGGCATAGCGTATTCGGTGACGCTTTTAAAAACCCGATGATATCCCAGCCCCCAGCTTCAGCCCTATTAAAGCTGCCCTCATTTACCAGTTTCGGATAAATTGTTTGTGTAGCATTCCATAATAATAAAAAAGGCGTACGAAACTTACCAAAAAGCCACACCGTACCTGTTGGAGTAATGGAAATCGTCAAACCGACACAAGGATTACTCCATCGGTGACTCACTGAGAGCGTGATGTTGAAGAGTTTAGAAAAGGAAATGCGCCATGTGTGTTGATCTGACCTGGTAAAATGCATGGAATGCTTTCTGCTTCTAGAGAGAGCTTATAGTGCTCTCTAGAATAGCTATCTGGTAAACACTAACGACCATACTGCAAGTCGATGGATAATGATGACCTTGGATTTCCGACTGTTAAGACGGCTAGAAGTCAAAAAAGTTAGATGATGAACGTCACGCTCGCTCCAGCTATTGAAAGGTCGAACCTGCGCTGGTGATTAAAAGTAGGAGCATGGGATTCACTTACCACTAAAATAACAGCATTTTATGACCCTGCCGGCGTGGATCTCGATCCACCCGCCCGTTAGTTATTCATATTTGACCCGTAGTTTGCTACAACCAAACGACACGCTCGATGCATCAAAACTGTAATTCCCGCGGGAATTCTCGTCATCGGTAATGTCCCTTGTAATTCCATACCGCTTCACCGTTTTGCCACCATCCGGTCTCGCTGTTTTTGTGATGCGTCTCTCTGCCTGCGTGTTTGCGCAGATCTTATCCGAGAATGACACTTTAATAATACTAGCACTGAACCTGATAAATAGATCGATGTAGCTTACAAATACCTGATAATCATGTGGCATACGAATGGTAGTGGCTATTCCCTCTGCTTTAGACTACACGTCGTGCGGGCAGGACATATTATTCCGTTCGAGTTACCAGCCATCTAGTCTGAGCGCTGGGGCTGCTCGCAGTGGACTGCCTTAGAGCTCACTCTTCAATTTCGACTGCCTCCAACAAGTCACTCCAGCTCAAGCAAGCTACTCCAATTACGACCAAGATGATGATCAGCAAGACGATCTATGCATTGTGTGCGGCAGCTGTGGCGTTCTCTGGTGGTACAGTGGATGCGACGACGGAGGTGGCGGAGACGTTTGGCTGGCTATTGCCGAAGAGCCACAACACTGACGGTGGCTACGGAGGTGCTAGTGTCGGCACAAACGGATATGAAGGCGCGTCCGCGGGGATAAGTGGATATGGCGGACTGTCTTTTCTAAAGGCACTTGGCGGTCTCAAGGCTGGTGCTGGTGGCTACGGCGCTACGGGCGTGGATCTCAACGCAAATGCTGGTCTCGGTGCACTTGGTTACGGCAATGCCAACGCCGGCACCGGTCTCGATGCTCGTGCCGGCATCAACGCGAACGCAGGCCTCAAGGCGAATGCTGGACTTCAGGCTGGTGCTGGTCTCAATACCGGAGCGGGTCTTGACGCCAATGCAGGTTTGAAAGCGAACGCCGGACTCAACGCTGGTGCTGGACTTAATGCTGGTGCCGGTCTCAACGTTGGTGCTGGCCTCAGCGCTGGTGTGGGTCTTAACGCCAATGCAGGATTGAAAGCGAACGCCGGACTCAACGCTGGTGCCGGACTCAACGCTGGTGCCGGACTCAATGCTGGTGCCGGTCTCAAGGTTGGTGCAGGTCTCAATGCTGGTGCCGGTCTCAATGCTGGTGCCGGTCTCAACGTTGGTGCTGGTCTCAATACCGGTGCGAGTTTAACGCCAATGCAGATTGAAAGCGAGCGCCGGACTCAACGCTGGGTGCCGCCTCAATGCTGGTG